ACAAACCACGTGATTTTATATGATGGATAATGACGTCCAATTACAAGACGACGGGGTCATGGAGAACACCCTAATTAAGGGCCTGGGAGCCTCCATGGACGAATTCGCTGGACCTGCTCGTTTTATGCCAGCAAAGCGATATCCTGCCGCTTCTGGCTCACTAATCGTTTCGTCGCGTCATCCAATGTTAATGCCACCTTACAGAGGAAAAGAAAACGGAAGGTGTAGGGTTGAACTCGTAACGAAAAGCAGCCTTTGAGTTTTGGTGGGCAGGGCGACGAGGGAGCGTTAGAACTGGCATTTATGAGAGCTGCAGCCTCGAAATTGGGACAATCTCTTAGACTGGGGACGAGCCTACTTGTATGAGGGAGACACCTACGAATCGTTTGAGCGCGGAAACTGTTTCCAAGGTTAGATTGGAGATGAAGTAGTGGCAAGTGGGGCCATATACCACGTGCGGTACGTATTCAGAGGTATGGAGGGGGTAGGTGCGTAATTTTATCATAGCGTAGAATGCGCTCGTGGGACATTTCCTAGCAGTACATCTGTTATCTTCTTTTGCTCTGGACTTTACAGTTGCCCCAAAACGAAAATATCCCACCAGAGGCCCAACTGGCGCCATGTTCGGATGGAGTACGCAGTCACGCCTCGCCCATCCCCGAAACCTGGAGTATATACGGTTCGGGGATCAATTCGGATCGCCAATCCTGCGCAAATCATTGAGAATCATTTACCATTTCAGCGTGAATTGTGAACGATAAGTTGCAAGGGCGGCGTCGGTGTCTTGATTGGGCTTATTGTGCTTTCACGTGTGAATGACAAGGACTGCAGAGAATGCTGTCGGAAGGCTGCGTTCACTTTACAACGCTACGAATCGCGCGAATGTTATCGGTCGTGCTTCTACGCTGGTCGTTGGACCCTAGCAACAGTCGAATAGTGTCTTTTCCCGAACGTGATTCATTTAGCAGTGGCAGCGGTCCAAGGAGTACCGGTGGGACGCGGTCGGTCCCAGTCGCGCCATTCCGAAATTGATCGTGACGTGAACGCTGTCGGAGGCTTTGGGCCAGTGTAAAGGCAGAATTCGCACCGAGCTAGCGAGAAGTTCCTTGGTATCGGGGTTAGAAATAGTAGTCTACTTGTCAGGCGAAAATTTTTTTATTTCATTCTCGATCTATCCCACAAATTTGCTATTTTCAGAGTCTGGTTTGATCGTTGGCTGGAGCTGAGTGGTGATCCATCTGTAGATGGCCGAAAGTTCATCCCGCTTCTTGAAGGTCCGTGCTTCCGGATTGAAGTCTCAGTGCATTTGCTGACAGTATGTTCCTGCGTCTGATATTGGCATTGCTGATTTTCCGTAGCCATTCTCTGTGTGGCTCACATGGATGCCGACTTGCCCATGATTCTTTATAGGTCGGAAATCAACTGGAAGAGGTGGAGGAGTTTCTGGCATTCCGTCCAGATCGCATAGGGCATGGCACATACCTGCATAAAAACGAGGATTCACGAACATGGTCATCGAGAAGCGAATTCCTCTAGGTTTGGATTCCATCTATTTCTGGTATTCACCTCCTAAAAAGGCGTCATCTAGCCCTCCCTCAAATATCCCAATGGGTTTCAACAAAGACCGCGCCCTTGCACAAGCTTCACGTAGCGTCTTTTCCAAAAGAAACGGTCTTTAGGCGTCTCAGCAGGCCCTCTACATGTACCAACCATTTTTCTACCAACCCCCTGACGCGCTATAATGCACATGCTCTATCTTTTTCCGCCCTTGGGGAGAACGATTAGGCCATGCTTTTGAAGCTTGACAGGAGACCTGGCCGTCATACATCTCATTTTGAAACCCCCCAAAACTGTATCTTGTTCTCTGTTATATGCGATCATGATCACGAGCTGCCTCCGAAATCACAATAGCTCTTCACCGACAAAACTGCGCCCCGCCCGCCATTTTAAAATCAACTACCTCGCAGCACGCCTACCGTTTCAGGATTTCGAGTATAGATGGCCGCATAGATCGCAGCAACTTATTCTGATCGGTCAGCGTTCAGTGCTTGCACTCACAAGCTGCGGCCGTAGCGCTTCATTTCCTTTTCAGGGTCCTCCTGGAAGGAATTTGCTTTCTGTAGCTAAAAAGATCTTCCTTAGCAGAGATTAATTTTATCTTCCGAGGAATAGTTTCATTTAGCAGTTTTTGAACTTTTTTTTTTTGGTTTTTTTCACGTTGTTTAGGCGAATCTTCGATGGCCCATTCGAGATGTCACTAGTACCTCACTCTCCTTCACTATTCTTGAATTTTTCTATAATTTAGAAACTGTTCAGAAATTTGTTTGACATCGAACGTAATGAGCATGACGACTCCAACGATAGAAGACTCACACCTACGATTCTGGCGTGAAAAGAAGGTGCCGTTCTGTATTTGTGTGAGTACATAGTCGTTAAATTAAACCGAAGATGACTCTACGGGCTAGCGGATGGTGGCAGTTTTTCGATGTCTTGGAGCAAACTACTTAACCGTAGATTGCGTTGAGGCGCAGTTGGTGTAGTGGTCCGCAAATTCGAACCGTCTGAGGGTATAAAAACACTGACTTATTCATCCGATGACTTCCTCAGGTCATTGCAGGGGGCTAAATCGCATTCAATAAGCTACTACGATTCCGAATAGTAGTAGAGTGTGTGCCTCATCCCTAAGAGGGATTGATTAACGGCGAAAGTTTTATCCTTTATCCATTGACTTGCTTATGCCTTCGATGTTGGCTAATGCTCTGTTGCCCAGTGGTGCTCGTTCAATGGAAACCCGAGCAACCCCCGTCTCATTTCACGAGGTTTGCATGGGGCGTTACCTGGGCGACGTAAAGTTCCGTTGTTCTTCTTCTTCTTCTCCCTAGCGTTAGTCCCGCGCCGTCGCAGGGTCCGCTGTTCTTGTTAGACGTCGCCACTTGTTCCGATCCACTGCATCTTCTGCCGTGGCTTTCACTTCAGTGAGGTCCTTCTTGATGACGTCCCTCCATCTTTTTTGGGGCTCCTCGTGGTCGCTTGCCCTCTACTTCGAATTCCAATGCCTTCCTTATTGGGTGGTCCTCAGGCCTTCTCAGCACGTGCCCATACCATCGCAGTCGCTGCTCTCGTGCCTTCAGCTGGATCGGAGCCGTCTGTGTGATCGCCCTGACGTCCTCGTTTCTGACTCTGTCGAGTCGTGTCCAGCCGCAGGCCCATCTCAGCATCCTCATTTCAGCTGAGTGGAGCTGCCTTTCATGGTTCTTGCAGATGGGCCAGCACTCACTGCCGTAGAGCATTGTAGGCCTTACCACGCCCGGTACACCGGGTTTGCAATTTTTGCAAGGCAGGTTTGTGCCTCGGCAGGGATCGAACTCGTGGCTCAGAGTGAGATTATGAGTCTACACTCTTAACCACTCGGCTATCCCTGCCTCTAAAGTTTTCCGTTGTTGTAAAGCAGAATGTTGAGAAGTGCACGACGACACGATTGATGTCCTTCATGGCGCTTGAATGGTCATACGAGAACGACAGGAAGGTGAAGGATATCGTACATATCAGCGGGCAGCAAAGGGCGTAGTTTATTAGGGTGGTGCATAATTTCTTTTCCCCGACTTTTTTGTAAATATCTCAATAGCGAACCAGCCTGAAGATTAGAGGTATGCACCATCATCCACTACTCGACATCAATACTCAGGCAGCTTGTCGGTTCCATCGTTCCAGAAGGACGGGGGCTGGGACCCGAAGAAGGCCACAATGCCGCACAATCACCACTGTGACATGGTTTTGCACTGGTAATTGTGCGGCATTGTAGCCTGCAAATGCAGGGTGGGCGAGTGATAGCTAGTGTGATGAAAGAGTATCATGTACACGTCACGCACACATGATGACGAAATACCAACATCCATGCATACGAAATACGGAAGGATCAAAACAGGGGAAAAATGCATACGAAATACGGAAGGATCAAAACAGGGGGAAAAAAACTTATGCACCAACCTAATAGTATTCCATGTCTGCGCTCTTCTCTTATACCTGTACTATACAGGGGGGCCAAAAAAAGACTTTTTTCTTCCTCGACTTTCGAGGCGCTATAAGTTACACTTTATTAAATTATTATCGGACATTTCTACCACCATATTAAAGAGCATATCAAATACTATCATGATACTCCGCCACAGCCTTTTCTGGAGGAGCGCCATCCGAGAGGATTCTGGCCCCACGCGACCGTCAGTGACGGGGTGGCGTGAGTTCACGACGATCGTTGATTTCTCCGCCACTGTAGACCACCCTATTGAACTCCGCCCGAGGCCAGGTAATTGAGGGGTTTAGGTCAGGTTACCTGCTTAGATATTCCACCTTCTTCAGGTACTCAACGCCCTTCCATTACAAGGTAGGCAAGAGTTTCTCCAACGCCCTTCGAATTTCACTGTCGGCGCCAGCTCAATGCTGGCAGTAGCAAAGTGTCTAGAAGGTACGGCGACCACATGTGAGGGAGGATACAATGTAACCGCCAGCGCTCACCTTTAGTCCGGGGCCCACGAAGAAAATATCGGTCTCTCCATTCCAGGTACGTCCGGTCCCCACCATCAACTGGCGCCTTGGCGACTGAGGTGAAGATGATGTCCTAGACCGTAGCGACGTTGACGGAGCTGCTCGATGATGGAGGTCTTCCAGATCGAGAGTACTGCTCTCCAGGTAGCTATCCATGGGTGACTCCATACTAGAAGTTTCGCAGCTGTTTGGAGGTGACATGAATTCCGAAGGTCTTCTCCAGTCAGGCTGCGACTGGAGATGATATTTTGGTGTACATGAAGGTGATGGGCGAGAGCCAGCTCCTGCTTATAGAGGAACATCTTGGGTATCTTCCGCCCTGGTACTCGTATCCACGTCCTCTGTCTGGGCTGCGAAAACTTTGCTGATATGTGACTCGGTCGAAATGTCTTTTTTTTGCCCCCCCCCCCCTGTATGCATCTCTTACGCCTGAATCCTCACCGCTCTCACAGCTACCCCTCATGCTCGCAGATATGAACTGTATCTTCGTTTCGACAACGTCCAATCGAATGCTGCTTTCACCATTCCCCTCCGATTAGCCACAATACCGGGCTGCTGTGCTTCACCTACTTGCACCTATTTTGTACCTTCCTGGCTTCCTTGCCCCTCGAGAATCGTCTGGGAGGTCCAGAACCTAAATCCAGATCACATCGGATAGAGCTCCGCTGAGTTCTCTGCAAAGCAACCCTCAGCGAAGTTTTGCGAAAACTCATGCAGGAGCTGTCAAAAATTTGGTGGGGGGGGCACTGCTGCACTTGGTTGAACGGTAGACGGTTGTTGTTGACTGAAAAAAAGGGGTCAGATAAAATGCGTTTGTAGTCGCTATCTGTGCGTTATATGGACGCGTTCCTGTGTACATACATCTTGGCGCGGCGCCAGCTCGTTTTCTTCAGTCGTTGTCAGTTATGGTAAGTAGCGGGATGGTCATGGCAATAGGCTGGCGCCGTTCACTTAATATTCTAAAGATGGGGAGTCCGTAATTGCGGCGCTTTTGGAGGGATATAGCAGTTTCAGAGCAGTTGCAAGAATGACTCTGCCCTGTACTAGATGGGATTACATTTGCACCAAATGAAACATCCCACGAATATTGCACCCTGTGCCATGTTCAAGTCAAGTGCCACGAACACTCCATTGCTGGCTTCAATAGAACTTGCTCGGAAATATCGAAAAATTGTTACTCTACAGTTATTATCCCTGCAAACGAAAGGGCTTTTGAAGGGATATGGATAACAGCGCGGCCGGGGCGGCCTTTTTCACCAACTGATGCACTCTGAGCCCACAACCATTGGTGGAAAAGTATTCCTGGGCTACGCTCCAGTCTACGCCCCTTCGCACCTCACTCGTTTAGAGATCGCAACCGTACTTCCTGAATTCTCTGCTTTTCGAGGGTGGCGGTTATAATCACTAACCAGTTGCTGAATTACTTTATTCTTGTTGCAATATTGAGTCTAACTGTATGGCTTTACAGACGGATGACAAAGGCCTCATGGACTGTGATCTGTCGGAAGAATATTCAAGGGCATCATATGCATTCGATCTTTCCTCAAAAGATTTACGGCAAGTGTCGCAAGATGCTTTGGAAATGTCTTTTTTGGACAAGTCAAGCGATGAGTACATGCATCTTAAGGGCAGGATTGCAATGTGCGAGGTAGCCACTGGGTGGGAGGTGTACTGTAATACTGGCGAGTAAGTGTGATTCATGTTTTGTGGTTAGAATGTCGTCTGGGAAGTTACGGTGACGCGGCAAAAATAGCGTTGCTAGTGGCATTTGCGCGGCATTCGCACCAGAACCTATTTGATTTTATGTGGAAGTGCTATATTATTTGGAGTCAACTAGCTGGGAATCAAAGAATACCGCCTCAATCCCCCAACCAACAACTTCTAAATTTTCTTACTGGACTTACTGGTGTTCTTTCGAAGGTGCATCCTAACTCCAGTGCCCCCTACG